GTACTTTGCAGCCAACAGATTCTCGTTTTGAAAACCTGAACAAAAAAAGAAAAGAGGAAAATGGCTTGTTTCCCAGAAAAGTACACTGACCATGCTGGCCCCCAAAAATGTCTCTACAGTAAACTTTTTGTCATTTGTCATCATGTTCTCAGTTACTAATTCACTTCCAATGAGTTGAGAGCCTGGGCATTATTTTTACAGGGCTCTTGTATAAGACTGTATTAGTTTAAACTAGTTGTATAAGTTGGCAACTAAGTGCAGAATGTGTAATCCGCATTCTCAAAGACAGAAAAGGTTTAAAAAAGTTTGTCCTTCTACTGATTAAACCAAGAACAAACAAGAGTGAATAACAGCACATTTAAATAGACTAACAGGACATCTACTGCATGTCTTGCTAAATAAATGGACCAAACTTTATCTCTGTTTTCAAAGCATTTCCTTTAAATGCTATCTGATAGCTTAATCTGTGCTGTCACCGTCAGTTGGGCATTTCCTAGTTACATCACATATGACAGTGAAAAAGTACAGATGTTGGGAAGGCATAAAATGGTGTAAAAGGAAAAAAAGATAAAATAGTAAAGAAAATGGCTGAAAAAACTACTTAAAGTACTTCCCACCTATGGGAACCATTAATTACTCTTATTATTGTACAAATGTTCCTTCTTCTGCTATCACCATCCAAAAACCTTCTGATGGTACAAATCTTAGCAAACCTGAGCATTATTAAAGTTTAGCCGGCAGGTCAAAGGTCATCTGGGTGTCTGCGTTTTATGTCTGCTGACAAGGTACTGCACAATTTACAATATTGTTCATAAAACACTTGAGCAGAGGACATTATGTAACTTTAAGTGCTGTTATCATGCAGTTTTCTTTGCTCTCTGTTCCTCTTCTGGTGTGAGTATTAAATCGGACCCCTGTGAAGTTACTATTGGCTGCTGCATCAGTGCTGAGGTCGAGTCCACAAGTCCAGGTCCAGGTGCTGCTCAGCCTTTCAAAGCATGACTACAGAAAAAAAGAAAAAATCCCACAAAAGGTGCTGTATTGTTGTCAGAAATAACATCTGTACTTAAATTAAAACTACAGCTACCACTAATACAGCAGTGATTAAGTGCAACTACTGATGCTACTACTACTACTCCCCTCCTTCCATTATGGTACTGCTACAATTACAGGATTTATACTGCCACTACGGCCAATACAAATGAAACGATTACTACACTTTTCCATCTCCTACTGTTGCATCTGCAACTCCAAGTTCTTGTACTACTGCTGCTGTTAGAAAAGTATTTTAAAGTGTCATACATACAGCTATTGTACACATGCACTTACAAGACACCACAAAGTAATATCAGCACTGATCCATAATTCTGCATATAGTGTACATTTCCACAATAAAGCAAAAAGTAAAAAACATTTTCTGACCCTAATGTTTACCACAAAATTCTTAAATCACTAATAAACTATGTTCTGCATAATTATAATACTAATTTAATTATACTCTGTTTTTGCCAAGCTTTTGAGACAATGTAAACAAACGTTAATGTATCAAAATTAAACAATCTTTCCAGTTTTTCATCCTATGTACGGCAGAATACTTCATGGTTTCGTTGAGCCATCTGATGGGAAATTTACACTCTAAAATCATTCTCGTATGTACATTATAAAAGATAATGGGAGTCACTTTCAACTCCTCCTAAATCACACAGCTCACACTGTTCCCTTCCTGAGTATTTTATAATCTGACAGTAACAAGAGGGAGAATAGCAATTCTCAGCTGTGCAAACTCCTTTTTGGCTTCTAAATAAATAAAATTCATCATGATTCGAGGTTTGCATTTAGTTGACTAATTATCCTAATGTTGGTTTGGATGATATTTTCTAACCACTTTTTTTCAGACTAAAATAAAAGCTTACTTTTAATGGAGTGTCCATTACAACACAAATTATTCCTGCAGATATACAGCAACTGAGCCATTGTAATGTGGAGTCTGAGCATTAGAACTGGTGCTACTGGGATACAATTACTTCTGTAACTACTGTAATACTTTTACAACTAAAATTATAAATAGTTACTTTTAATTTTAATTCTACTCTAACTGTAACTCAACTGCAACTCTCAGTACTATAAACACTTACCTTTAAACATATATAAATATATACATTTATTTAAAATAAATGTATCTTAAACTGCTGCACACACACACACACACACACACACGCATTCCTCTGGTTGACCTTTGACCACACGAGGAAAAGCCCCCGGCTGTCAGCCAATAAGAAGGAGGCCAGCCACGGCACTGCCCACGTCACACACCAGCCTGACGGTGTCGAACCCTGAACTTACATCACTTGTGATGTGGGTGAAAGTTCAACAGCTACTGCTGCAAGAGGGCAGGAGGTTTCCACACCAAGATGACAGTCAGACATGCAAAGAAAGACTATTATGTAATTGTTAAATAAAAAATAAAAAAAATAAAGAAAATCTATGAGAGAAGATGAAATTGCTGTCAGTTAATTTAGCTGATTCAGGCGAAAATGTGTCGAAGAAACATGTAAAAGTGTCTTTCTTTTACAACTGAGAACACATCACAGCTATTTATTTCAGTGTTGTTTGATTTAACCATTTTTGGCTGCTTCACTTTATCCAGTTTGCATGGAAATTAAACCAGAAAGAGGATGCATATTTCAGACTTGGTCAGCTGGCATAACCAGGTATACATACACCCTTACATGATCAATCCGGCTTTTCCCCTTCAGGCAGGGAGTGTGTTACAGGAAGACATAGCCCTGGCAGCGGTGAGGACAGAGCTGTCTGTCTCTCTTTTGGATCAAAGCCAACTCAAGCTATCAATGCTCAACTGGGGGCAGAGGGAACCGGTTGCGCGAAGACGACGTTACGTCCTACTGCCGATTAATGATTTACTGACGGCCTGTAACACTGTGTTTTTCAGATCTGCATGGAACAACAGGTTCATGCAAATAGCCCAGAGACAGAGCCTTCCCCCACACATCCTCCTCCTCCTCCCCCCACCCACCCTCCTCTTGTGGGACATCCCAGGGTATAAAAAGAACAGACCTTCTCCACAGTGATACAACTGAGCACAAAGGAGAAACAGTCCTGAACTCTCCTGAAAACAGCCAACAGAGACACATCGACTGATGAGGCCGAGCTGAAGGCTCTCTGCTCCAAAAAACTACTAAAGGTAACCCGATGCTCTTTCTTTTCAGTGTGACTTGTGTGTAATGTGAGGAGGGATACCAAAGTTATCTGCAGAGTGAGCAGGGATCTGCACAGGGATGATGTTGCATCACCCCGAGTCTGTCTGACCTGGAGGTTGCAGCAGTTACTTGAAATTTCAATGTAGTGTTTTAAATGCAAAATAGTATAAATGAGACCAAATCTAACTGCTTAGAAAAGTCTACAAAATGTACATATTTAAAACTGGAACACAGATTTTGAGCTAAACTGATTTTAATCTTTTTTATTCTCCTTTTCTCCTCTTCTCCTCTTTAAATTTCTCCAATTTGTTCTTCCACTTCTTTCCAATCACCTTTTTTCTTTTCTCCTTTCTTTGCATCTTCTATACTTGCTCCCCTTTATAACCCTCCCCGTCTTTCCCTGTCACCCTCTTGTTTACTTTTCTCCTCACCCATTTCATGCAATTCTTGCATCCTCTCTTCTCTTTTTTTCCTTCCCTCTCCTGATCTTTCCACCCCTTCTTCTCTCTTTTCTTTTCCACCCTTACCTACATATTTTCTCCAGACTACACTGCTCCTCTTGTCTTTTCTTTCTCAGTCTATCAGCTCGCTCTCCCTCCACACTCCTCCAACATGCCTCCTCAGCTTCAGTCCCAGAACCAGAACGGTCCCAGGATCCTGCAGGGCGATATCAGCGCCCTCAGTCCGGCCGTCAAGGAGTTTGTGGATGCCAATGTGATCCTTTGTCAGCCCGACTCCCTCCACATCTGCGATGGCTCCGACGAGGAGAACCGAGCCATCCTGACCCAGCTGGAGGAGCAAGGGATGATCAAGAAGCTCAAAAAATATGAGAACTGGTAGGTTGGCTGGGGTTTAAGTCGTTTTTTAGGTGGTTTCTGGGTTAGAGGACATTTTCTGAAATGTTAGGGTCTTTTGTGTCTTTTGGTTTTTTTGGTAAATGTATGTAAAAACAGTAGAAAAAGTTTACTGCTGAAAGCCGAACTCCCAAGCTGCTCAACAATAACTGGTCTTGAATGCATTTTTGACAAATCAGCACTCACTGTTTTTGTACTAAGATGGCGGCATCTCTATGCAATTGGCAGATTGCCCAGTCATGTTGTTGTTAAAGACAGTCTACATCAGTCAGTCCTCAGCAGCTGTTTAAAGAAACAACATACCTTTTACATTACAAGTCCACCTCAGACCTGCTTACCAGCAGTATTTTATCAGGTGGAAGGTTAACAGAGAAACTGCCTCTTTGGCATGAGCTTGTAATCCAAGAACAAACCCTAAACTTGTCCCTCTACTTTGCAACAAAGCCCTATGTCTTCTTACCCTTTCTGCCTCTTCCTTTCCACCTACCTCCATTCCCTCCTTCCTCCTCCTGCAGCTGGTTGGCCAGGACCGACCCGAGGGACGTGGCTCGAGTGGAGAGTAAGACTGTGATTGTGACCCGGGACCAGAAGGACACTGTCCCCACACCACTGGAAGGTGGAGTCAGCCAGCTGGGCCGCTGGATGTCCCCGGAAGAGTTCGACAAAGCAATGGCTCAGCGGTTCCCCGGCTGCATGAAAGGTACCACAGAGAACGTCTGACTCAATTTATCCTTTAGTTTGAACCAGATAGAAAAACATGTGGAAGCTTTAAAGTCAAGACTGATATTATTGGGCAGCTAGATGGATACTGTAGCACTGTGACCATTGTTTTTACTGTTGATGTACGTTGATTACATAAAAAAGCACCAGGTATTAGATTAGAAGACAGTGGAGTCAAAAGTGCAAAGAGTTGAAAGACTGTTCTCTTTTTCACTGATTGACTCCACACTTTCCTGATGCTTAGAACGTTCAAACCCAATAATGCACATTTCATTAACTGTAGTGAAACTTCACTAAAATGTTGACATCTCTGACTCTCTGTCCTCAGGTCGTACCATGTATGTGATTCCCTTCAGCATGGGTCCAGTAGGTTCCCCACTCTCTAAGATTGGAGTGGAGCTGACAGACTCTCCCTACGTGGTGGCCAGTATGAGGGTGATGACCCGTATGGGGAAGGCCGTGCTGTCTGCTCTGGGCACAGGCGAGTTCGTCCGCTGTCTACACTCAGTCGGCTGTCCTCTGCCCCTCAAAAGTACGTGAACTCATTTTTTATTCAATAGCATTAAGGCAATGCTGAATACTAATGAGTACTGAAGAAAATGACCAGTACTACTGTTACACTTCTAGTATTACAACCACTATTACTGCTATTACTGCTGATAGCTCCTTTAGTCCTTTAGTACTTTCTACTACTTTCAGTATTTGATTACTTACGCAGTAACTAACATTATATTACTACAACTATTAATACTGATTATGATTCTGTCATTACTGCTACTACTTGTATAAAAATAATATAAATTAACAACAAATACAACAATTAAAATGACTAACAACAACCCCAATTACCACTGCTAATGCGACCTACTACTTTAGGTATTACAGTTCTCTGCAATTTACTGAAATCTTCCTCCGTCCTCCAAACACATGCTGTCAACTGATTCAAATTTACTGATTTCCCTCACAGAGCCCTTGGTGAACAACTGGCCCTGTAACCCCGAGCAGACGTTAATCGCCCACATCCCAGACCGCAGGCAGATCGTCTCTTTCGGAAGTGGTTATGGAGGAAACTCCCTGCTGGGGAAGAAGTGCTTTGCTCTGCGCATTGCGTCGCGTATTGCCAAGGAGGAAGGATGGCTGGCAGAGCACATGCTGGTAAGGAATGAAAAGAAATATCAAAAAACCTCCAATTATTCCATATCATAGATACTCTCCACAACAACTTTTTACTGAGACAAATGTTTGTCTTGCTCAGATCCTGGGTGTCACCAACCCTGCTGGTGAGAAGAAGTACATGGCAGCAGCCTTCCCCAGCGCCTGCGGGAAGACAAATCTGGCCATGCTCTGCCCCACGATGCCCGGCTGGAAGGTTGAATGTGTGGGAGACGACATCGCCTGGATGAAGTTTGACAACCAAGGTGAGAGACTCAAGACTTTGTGAAGTTCAATTTGCCATCAGGGACATTAAAGTTACAATAATAGTAATACTAGTACAAGCAAACACTTCTATTATTCATTATTTTCCCCTTTGTTCCCTGTCGCTAGGCAATCTACGTGCCATCAACCCAGAGAACGGCTTTTTTGGAGTCGCACCTGGCACCTCGGCCAAAACCAACCCCAACGCCATGGAAACCATCGTCAAGAACACCGTTTTCACCAATGTTGCAGAGACCAGTGATGGCGGCGTGTACTGGGAGGGAATGGACCAGTCACTGCCCGAGGGAGTCACCATCACTTCCTGGAAGAACAAGCCCTGGAGCAAAGAAGATGGTAAGAGCTTGTCAAACGTTCTCTAGTTAGTGTCTATTAGATGAGCCACTCTGTCATCCTATCAACCAAAGGTCCAAGATTATTATTACAATTTTGAAGAAGTAGGTTTTCACTCAATATTTTTCAACTCAAAAATCAAATGAAATTAAGCTTCTCTTCCTGTGTTTCTCTCTATCCAGGCGAACCCTGTGCTCACCCCAACTCTCGTTTCTGCACTCCGGCCGGTCAGTGTCCCATCATCGACCCACTGTGGGAATCCCCGGAGGGAGTCCCCATTGAAGCCATCATCTTTGGAGGGCGCAGGCCAGAAGGTAAGCAGTGGAGAACCTTGAAAACTACAACACTGGTAGAATAAGAGAAAAGGATACAAAATAATCCCATAATACTAATCTAACGTATGACCCTGCTACCTTTTAGGAGTCCCTCTGGTATACGAGGCTTTTAGCTGGCAACACGGAGTGTTTGTTGGAGCAGCTATGAGGTCAGAGGCCACCGCTGCAGCTGAACACAAAGGTCAGTATCTAATATCTTTTAGTCTGATCACCATTTAGTGGATTTTAAGGAGTTTCTTTAGTCTGAAGATCATGACTTTTGCTTAATAAATCATATAATAGCTTGTAACACAAAGATCTTCATTTGTGTAAAGATTTTAATCTAAAAGTTGTCGCAAACACTAGATTTGTGTTCCATGAGACAACAAAAAAAAAATACTCACCTCTTCTCTCTTTCCTCTTTGTCCTTCCCTTCTGCAGGCAAGATGATCATGCACGACCCCTTCGCCATGCGTCCCTTCTTCGGCTACAACTTTGGACAGTACCTCTCTCACTGGCTAAGCATGGCCGACCGCCCCGGCGCCAAGCTCCCCAAGATCTTTCACGTCAACTGGTTCCGCAAGAGCCCCACTGCTGGATTCCTCTGGCCTGGTTTCGGTGACAACATCCGCGTGCTGGACTGGATGTTCAGGCGGGTGAATGGCGAGGCCGGCGCCATGCCTTCTGCCGTGGGCTACCTTCCCTGCTCCGAGTCCCTGAACCTCCAGGGCCTGCAGGGCGACGTGGACCTCAATGAGCTCTTCTCCCTGGACCAGGAGTTCTGGCAGAGGGAGGTGGAGGATGTGAGGAAGTACTTCACCACGCAGGTGAACGACGACCTGCCCAACGAGGTGGCCCGGCAGCTGGAGCTCCTGCAGCAGAGAGTGAATCAGATGTAAAGAGGAGGAAAAGGAAAAGAGCAGCGTGTTAGCTAATCTGAAAGATGTTGTTGGTAATTCTAGAAAAGCTTCTCTGTAATTCCAGAACTGAATTTTAGTCATTCTAGAACAACATCAGAAATTCTAGAACTGAATTTTAGTAATTCTGTAACAGAATGTTGGACATTCTAGATTTTGTGAGTAATTCTAGAACATCTTGTCACTGTTGTACTGAGGAACTTCCACTCTCTGAGGTGGGACAACTTTATGAAAGAGGAATAATTGTCCTCTGATCTGATTTTTCTGCTATTCGGTTATGATTCTGCTTGTTTGTTCGTTAGCTAGAAGTCTTCCTTTTTTCAGATTATTGTCCTGAAAATGCTTCGGTTAATATTCGGCTAAAATGAATTACATGAACTTGTACGAATGGTAGCTTTAACCAACATTCCTCATCATACACCGGCACATTGTACGTCTGAATTTTCCTATTTAATAATAACTTATTATGAACACACATCATATCGTCATTGCCATATAGATTTGTGTGGCACAGAAAGAGTAAATGAGTCCAGGTTAGCTCAGCTCCAGTATTGTTTGACCCCCTGAACATGGGGGAAATGTATGTTTTCTGTTCCTATTGTTATTTTTTGCCTTAATTTATTTTTGTACACTGGTATCTCTTGGTTATTCTTTGTTGGAATCTTGAGCCCCACGAGGGGAGACACAACAATAAAGTTATTTAAACTTATCACTGATTCTGTTTGATTTTTCAAGGATCTGGTCATCTTGTTATTTTGTTCTGATATTATAGGGCAGCACATCATTTACAAAAACTGCCATATAAAGAAGAAGCTCATTCTCCAGCAGTTAAGATAATAGCAAAACATGTAAATAGTATCAGATTTACTCATGATAAAAGTTACAATCAGAAACAAACTACTATCTGTCCTGTCTAATACACAGTATACAGACTTGAACAGTTCTATGTCTGAAGAAGAGGAAGAGTGTATGTTGGGACAAGCTTAACACGTGTTTCTGTTTCTTAAAAGACCATGTGGGCCAGAGAAAGTGATAAATAGAAATGGGTTTTCCAGTAGCAGACGTTCTCTTTGTTATGTTTTGTCATGTATTCGAATGTTTTCCAGTGAGTGCTCAGTGTTATAGCCTCAGAGAAAAGTTAGCTGTAGATTTGAAACTTTTTGAAAGTTCTTTCCTCCCTAAATTCAGGTTGTAGATGGGGTTAATCGAGCCATTTAAGGTTGTGTAACAGCATAAGTGTGTGTGTCATTCATGAAATCTAAAGGGAATATAATATTCATAGGTATGTTTTGATTAGTTTCTGATCACCTGAATATACACGCTGGATATTTAATGAAAAAAAGAAAATAGACTGGTTAGTTGTGTGACTAGCTGGTGACATTGGTGAAGCTTTTAGCAGCTACAGAGCTTGCAGACACCAAACTGGAACTAAAACTGGCTCAAATATAAGACTTTAATTTTTGTCATGTTTGCCTTGAACATGGCTCCAAATGAATACTAATTCTGCTCCACGCTGCTGGATAGGTGAATGTGCAACTCTTACACATTATAACTTCAGGCTAACTCAATCCCTGCAGTAAAATGCGGTTTGTTGATTTTAGTGTTAGCATTTGGATTTAAATATCAGCTCGGAAATCAAATAAAAAGTATTTGACAAGAAGACAGAATAGGACACCATATATCATCCTACATATATTATCCAAGTTTAATGTCACCTTTGAACAAAAGATCAATTCAGAGCACTGCCTAACAATGCTGAATTAATTTGTGCGTGTGTGGTGAACATCTATCTTACCCCCTTTTTACTTTTCTTAAATATGATTAACTTATATTTACCTTAAATGTAATTAATACAAAGGCTTATCTAAATTTACTTTAATTAAAGTTTCTCAAATGTCAAATGATCAAATGATTATTTGGCTAAATAATAAGAGTGTGTGTGCATGTGTGTAAATTTCCATCAGACACAGGATTGCATTTTCACTGCAGTTTTAATTGCATTTATTGATAAAACTGTTAAAAATAAAAAAGAAACAGTAACTCAACCGATGACTGAAAGAAAAATTAAAATCGATTTTTTTGTGTGTCCCATTTCAATATTTTATTCAGTGTAAGTGCAGGAACAACAGGCAGAGCTTCCGTGGACGACCAGAGAGAGTCAATGAAGTGATGCAAAGTCATAAAACTATATTCATCATGTAGAATAAAAAATAAAGAACTTGAGGAAAAGCGTAAAAAGGAAAAGACACACGTCATATAATTTACTCGGTACAGTATATCCAAACTCTTATCTTCTGCCATTTAAAGTAACTAATACTATAAATGAAGCATGTTTTAACACATATACACACAGAAACGACACGTACAGGTCAAAAAGTAAATACATTACTCTACATTTAACCCCAAATTGAGCAGCCATGCGGTGACTGTGAGGCCACATGTTTTTGTCCCATGGTTCAGCTGTTGTGTAAGACGTGAAGATAATGGCAGTGACAGAAGTTAATCATCACTAACTTGTTTTTGACACTATCTGGGATCTGAATCCTATCATGTTTTTTAAGTCAAAGCTTCTAAGAACAAGGCAGTGCCGACAGATCACAACACAGAGAGCTGTTCATTGATTATACAGGAATTTGTTGTGCATGGCGTTCCAACACATTTCCGTGCATGAAGACTTTGGCTTCAAATTTAAGAATTAAAAACTGGCATTAAAGAAGTATAGAAGTCACTGGAAGATCTTTGGGTTTTATTTTAGCCACCAATATGATTTTTTTCTATCAAAAACATTGCACATTAATGCATGCAGACAAATGCTGTTAGTCAAGCTGGAGCTTAATTAAATTGCACAGTTGGGTTCCACCGTGAGTTAAAGACCTCATACACTTCAAAAAATATAAATAAATCTACATCAAGTGAAGTTATTTTTGCTTGAAATTGAGTCTTATATTTGGAGACACTTAAAAATAATCTCCCATTGCAGAAAGAATATTTTAACCTATGTCTAGAAGAAAATCTTATGAAGTATAAATTTTCTTACTGCAATAATTCAATTATATACAAAAATAAGAGGAAAAGATGCAGATTTTATGTAACATTCATGATGATGTATGTATTTTTATCATATATATTTATTTTATTTTACTTTATTTATTGTATTCATTTTGTGAGTTAAAGACCTCATACACTTCTACAAGTCTTATATTTGGATACACTAAAATAGTCTGCCATTGCAGAAATATTTCCACCTGTATCTACTTGAAGAAAATCTTATAACAATAAAGTATAATGAATCAAGAAAAATTCAACAAATTTTCTTACTACAATAATTCTATTATATACAAAAATAAGAGGAAAAGATGCAGAATTTTAGTGGTTATGTAACATTCATGATATGTTCTATGTATTTTTATCATATATATTTATTTTATTTTTTATCTTATTTATTGTATTCATTTCATTTTATCCTTATGTATTGATTTTTAAACTACATACATACTAAAACAGGATAATTCTGTACTGAGATATTTATATTATATCCTTATAGAAGTCCCAGTGAGCATGCAGGAATCATGGGAAGTGAAGTCCTCCGCTGATTGTGCAGTCGATAGCACGTCCCATCCCCTGCGTGTTGGCTTGTGTTGACCTTGTATGTCCGTTGCAACTTTGTTAATCTCTCTGTGACTTTAACAGTACCAAGAAAAAACAAATCATATATTACTGTACTCGCTCCGAGCAATGACAGGATTGTTTGTCTGATTGTGATGTTGGAAAGTCTTCTTTGAGACAATGATTTACTCTTTGTTTCTGCCAACACCACGGAGCATCTGAATGTTCTTGTTTTTTAGCCGCCTTATCTGAGGAAATAATTAGCCCACAAGCATGCAGAGCCATACCTTCACTGCGTGGCTCAAACTGCTTGTTTTCCAGCACATTTCTTATCTAACGTTTTACACTGTGCCAGTTATTTGTTCGTCCATAAAGACATTCCAGTATTGCGCCTTATCTATTATGTTTCTTTTTATTTTTCCAGGTCTTTAGGATTTTGTTGTATTACATGTAAGGCAGATTTATGAACTACAAAACTTGAAGTATAATAAAAATGTTTGTAAAACATGCATTAGATGCGACGAAATTTAGATGAAATCAAGTTTTTGCAGCAGGAATAACTTTATTACCTCATTATAATTTCACATGTATGTTAATTTAATTGTGCCTTTTGTTAGGACTTCAGTTTCTTGATTAAAGTTACACACTAAAATTAAATCAAACAGGTCAAATGAGTATGAACCACTGCCTGAATTGGCCCAAAAAAGGTGCCAGTACCTGAATTCAACACAACCCTAATCCCAAACACAACATAACCCTAACCCTAACTCAGTACAGTTTATTGCTATTTTCTTAGTGTTAAGCTAGCTACGTGTTTACACAGAGACACAGTTATGCAGGCGTTTAGGAGTACCTCACCAGTGTTGCTTTTATAAATACTGAGGTCGAAAAACTGAATTTGCTAGGGAGGTTTGGGGCATGCATCAAAACTTCAACATAGTTATTTTTAGATCATTATTTCATGACTTTTATTGTACAGCCCTTGGAAAAAATACTGGTGATCTCAATGGTGAGTACAAAAAGGCGCACCAGAGGTGGTGGTACTTGATAACAAGTAAGGGTACTCCTGTGGACAAAAGTCGGAAGTGCTGGTATCAGTAATGGTGAGTACTGGCACATTTCAGGCACGGCTATTAACCATGTAATGTGAAAGTTGTCTTGCATAATGATGATCACACAGAGTATTATACTCCAACTGTGCAGCTCTACAGAGCTTTTTAGTATCTTTTAAGTCACAGTTTTGGTCTCACAGCACATTTACTTCATTAAGTAACAAATCCACTTTATATTCCTGCAGCAGTAAATGTGAGAAATTATAACTGGTGAAAAAAAGTTAAAGCTCTAACAGCTATAGCATTTCTCAGAAGTTTGCGGAGACAACCAGTGGCTGTGCTTATGTTGAACACCTCCCGGATTATGTCACTCTCTGTGGAAGCTGTTTCTCACAGTGAACATGAATAAACGGCAGCAGGCAGTTTTATCTTAAGAAGGAAAACAACTGCTGATATCAGTGACGGTGCTGACTCTGGAGTATTTATCAGCTGGATTGATGAAACAGCTGTTATCAGCGTGAAGGCGTCAGAGTCCTGTACTGTTCCAATGGCTTTTAATTAAACATTAAAGAAATACAATTATTGACCAGGAAGGGAGGAAAGGTCAAAGTTTAATTGAACATTGTACTGGAGTTTATGTTTTCCTTCTTCTTCTCCTCTTTTTCTTCTTTCTTAACTCTTTCCCGATTTTCTCTCATCCTTCCTTACTCTCTTTCTTGCTCCTTTCCCTCCTGTCTTGTTTCCTTAATTTCTAATCAGCCCCAGCTCTTAATTACCATTGGAATCAGCTCACTGTTCATGTGATTGACCTACATTCTTCAATTGCCTGATTCAAACTTCAGATTTTAACTTTATTAGACATCATGTTAAATCTTTTCATCTCCACTGCCAACTGAGCCATAAAACATGCAGAGTGATGTTTGTCCAGCAGGCAGACTGCCAGCCGGAGACTGAAGGATACTGGAGAGATCATAGCTTTTGTTTCAACCATCTGCTGATCTTCCTGGTAATGTCTGATTCATTTGAGATGTTAGTCATATGGCCTCATATG